AAAATAAATAAATTAATTAATTTTAAAAAAAATAAAAAGAAAAGAAAAATTTGAACTATTAAAAAACAAACAAACATATTTTACTAAAGTAAAAAAAAGGGGGAACTAGGGACTCATCATTCCTCTCCACATTCTATTCTTTCCCTTGTTTTATATATTTTAAATTTTTTATCAGTGGATTCTGCTGGAGTATCTGCTGCAGATAAGCACTGGAGGGCTCCTGTTGCAAATCATCCTCTGGTGCGATGGAAGGATCTTTCTACTGGCACTTGGAGGAGACCTGATCTGGTGTTGGTGTGGGCCCAGGGTTCTGTTTGTGTCTTTCCTCAGGACAATGAGGTTCCTCTTTGGATTCCTGAGTGCTGTGTGCACCCTGTGACTGCTGCTGAATCCCAACATGGCAGAGACCTATTGGGCCTTCATGAAAAACTTTCCCCTTCTGATACCAATGGGGATTGAGAGCCCAATATGGCCAGCTTTGGCAAGCATTAACGTAAGCCTAGGAACTGTAGCCATGCGGTTGGATTCTCCAGAAGGTAATGTATGGTAACTGCTTTTTCAAGTATGTTTGAGAACGTGTCACCCAGACACCTTAGAGATTAAGGATAACCCTGAAGGTCACTGACCTCCATTTGTTAACAGCATGCCAGCTAAGCCTTTTCATTTTCACAATCCTCTTCAAGCTGGTGTAGGACCTACTTTTCAGGAGTGGCTCTGTGCAACATTTATTGGCCTCCTGAAATTCATTTAGCCCCGCTTTGAAGATACCTTAAAATTTATGAGCCTGAATGTAGCCATTATAAGACCATTAGTTCTGCTCCTTGTGTGCTGCCTGTTTTTTCTTTATGATTCTTAGTTGTTCTTTTGCAGAGCTGCCAGCTTAAGTTGTGCTGGGATCAAGAAAAATGGGCCTTGGCAGTTCGTGTTCCTGGAGTTGGATCCATGCCAGTGGATGTCCACACACCCCAGAAGAGAATTTGACATTGCTGCTGCCGTTGTTGCTGTTATAGCAGTGGTGGCCTCCGCTGCTACTGTTTCTGGGATTACCATTTCATAATTGCTTACTACCGCTAGCACAGTGGAGATCCAGGCAGTAAAAGTAGCTACCACAGTTAGTTAATCTTTTATTCTATTGGGCATGATAAATTTAATTCAATAGTTATATACATTTTTATTGGCTTTGAAAGTTATAAATTTATAAACTCAAGTTCCATTTACCTTTGGGATACCATCTTACAAGGACTCCAATTTGCAGTAAGGTTCGTTAAGGAAGGGAATGGCTCAGTTGCCTTTAGCCTACTGGCTATGGGTAAGTTAGGACTTCTGTTGGTCTTTTCTGTGTCGAACACACAGATTGCAAGCCCAGTGCCACTTTGAGATCTTTGGCAGCAGTAAACTCTGCAGCTCACACACGATTAAGCCTGTATGATAATGAGTATTCAGAGACAGTTAATGCCTGGGGGGCGTTCACCAACCTAAGACAGAGCGCCTGTGTGGCCTGGGCAGACGTCTTCATGACAGGTAAGGTGACCTGCTGATGTCCCACGCAACCTAAGTCAGAAGCTCATTTTTTAGTAAAAGGGGGACCTGTAGGTCCCTGGCCCCCGTTTTGGGTAACTGTTGCCTTGCTTGCTGACCTTGACCTTGATATCCTCCCTATGCTAATTCCCTGCCAGGTTCCACCCTCCTAAATGCTTAAGGGAAGATCCTTGTCTGTGTATCCTGCATAATGGGCGTTAACAGCTTAGATGCAAGTTTGTAAAACATCCATAGCGAACTTCTGCCCTCTGGGGATCTCCCATTGTGCTGGAAGCCTGTATTTAAGACCTTCTCCCTCCTTCAATAAATGGCATTCAGCATTAAATAAATAAATAAATAAATAAATAAATAAATAAATAAATAAATAAATGTTTCCAAGTATGGGTTGTTCTTGTGACTGTGTACAGTTTGAACTCATATGAACTTTGCTCATATGACCTTGCTTAACCCTTAGAGTGTAAATTGTCTGGTGCTCTGAATAAAGTTGACTATTACATAAGACTTTAATGAGGACTATTGGGGTCCAGCCCCTTGATAGCCCTCTCCCAGGGTCTGTGGAAAAATCTACAAGCAGCTGAAAATATAATCTTAGACAATATTAAATGAATCTATGTATATGAAATTCTTTTTTTTAAGATTTTATTTATTATACATACAGTTTTCTGCCTGCATACCAGAAGAGGGCATCAGAACTCATTACAGATGGTTGTGAGCCACCATGTGGTTGCTGGGAATTGAACTCAGGACCTCTGGAAGAACATCCAGTGCTCTTAACCATTGAGCCATCTCTCCAGCCCCCTGTATACGAAATTCTTTAGTCCATTCACTTTATTCATCTGAGTCAGTTCTCTCTCCACACAGCTTCTATTCTGCTCTCATGCCTAGCTCCTTTCTTGCTGGATTTCTCTCTACATTTATCTGCTGTTCCCTCTAAATGCTATCTTAATTCCTTCATCTTAGTTCTGCCCCATCTAGGTTCTCATCCATCTAGTTCTTTCTCATCTTAGCTCCTCTCCCATCACCTTCTCTCTCATCCTGTTCTACCTCATCTTGCTCTTCCCCACCTTGGCTCTTCCTCATCTTCCTCTTTCTTCTAGTCCTTCAATCTAGTTCTCTTCCCATCTAGTTCCCTCTTCTTCCTCTAATCTCATTCCCCTCAAGTCGCTGAGGTTTACAGTTATATACACATGCAATAGCAATGCTCTGGCTAAGGCAAGGTCACCAGACTTGAATTTCCTCAGGGTCAAAATGGGGGAACAATAAGATCCACACAAAGGAGCAGTAATTGCCAGACATCATCTGCAACCCAAAAGGGAAGTGACTGATGGGGAATAGAATCAACTGAGGGCTAAATTCGGTTAATATCTGAGCAAAAGGGGATTTTATGTGCTCAACTATATTCTTAGAAGTGGTTAGTTAGGCAGAGGCAGGCGGATCTTTGTGAGTTCAAAGCCAGCCTGCTCTACAGTGCGAGATCCAGGAACGGCGCAAAGCTACACACAGAAACCCTGTCTCAAAAAAAAAAAAAAAAAAAAAAAAAGAAGTGGTTAGTTAAAGTGTTAGAAGTCTATCAGTGATGAGTGAAAATAAAACTGCCTTATTTTCCTTTGGCCCCTTATCTGTCCAAGCTAGCTTGGCTACTGTGGTTTTCTGGCAGGGCGGGGGAATGCACTCGGTGGCTGGGCAGCCTGAGTCAGCTTAATATATCTGTAAGTACAAACCCTTTAGTTCTGAGTTAATAGTTAAAGGTAGATCTAAAACTAGAGATAAGACTTTGGAAAGGGAAAAAGTTAACCTTAATTAGCACATCTGCCAGGCCTTCTCAAACAGATAGTCTGGATGTTTAAGTCTGTTCCTAGATAGTACAGAGGTATGTCTGATAAGATACTTTCATCCATCCAGGAATGGTCCTGGCCGGATGCTGCAAATGACAATGAGTACAGGGAGGCTTGAACTGGAGCTCTGGCTATGTATAGCTGTCAGCACAGAAGGTTATCTAAATATTCCATTAGTAGAGAGGAAATGATGCCCAATAAATGATGGAAAAGCTACAATAGCACAGGAGAAATTCATAGCAGGAAATGGCTAATAATCAAAAGCCAATATCACCAAGACTCCTTGAGCCTTGCCCTCATCCTCTGGAAGAGTTCTCAACTCCTCAAGGTAAAGCTTTGTCATAATCAGCTGAATTCCTACTTCATACATTTTTTTGTGGCTTGCAGCAAGACTTTAGTCCACCTCATTTTTAGGTCTGCTGATGACAAAATTCTGAGTGGTTGCCAGCCTGGGCAGGACTGGAGATAACTCAACAACAGTCTGCTTTCATAGATTCATCCTCCAACTCTGTGTCTCTGGTTGGTCTGGAACTTGCTGTGTAGACCAGTCTAACCTCAAACTTATGGAGGTGTTTCCACCTGTCTCCCGGGTGCTGGGATGACAGGTGTGCACCAACATGCCCAAATGTGTGTTTGTTTTAGGACATTTTTCCATATGTATGTGTATGGTGAGTGTATATGTGTATGAGTGTTTGCATGTGCATGTGGATATGCAAGCAATTCTGTGGACATATCAACCCAGAGTTGATTGTGGGCATCTTCCTCGATTACTTTCCACTTTATTTATTGAAGTAGGGTCTCTTGCTGAACTCAGAGCTCACCAATTCTGACTAGTGTAACTGTTCAGCTTCCCTGAGGATCCCCTGTCTCAGCCTCCTGGGTATTGGAGATATAGGCAAGCTACCAAACCTACCTGGCTTTTGTGTGGGTTGTGTGCATTCAAACCCCAGTTTTTGTGCTTGTTCAGCAAGTACTTTATCCACAAATCCATCTCTCTAGCCTCAGAGTCTTAAAACTTCCTTTTGCATTTTTATCTTTACCAGCACAACCTTACATAGACTCAAATATGAATAAAAACCTGGTGCTCTCGTTGTTGAAATGAAGGGGTTTGGGGAAGACACACTGGCTTGAACCAGCTATTGCCCCAACACTTCCCCCATCCAGTTTCTTGGGTCTGTGAGAAGCCACATTTAAAAAACTGTTCTGGGCCCACAGCGGTCCTGGTAGTTTAGCGGCCTCAGGTATTGTCTGAGTTTTGAGTTCTACACACGGCTATAAAGCGACCCTCCAGGTAAGACCTTTCTCAATATTCTGAGACTCGGGGGTTTCTTTTCAGCACATTTATTACCTTTACAGGGCTTCTTTTAGCATTACCCTTAATGCCAGCTTTCCTTTTATAGAAAATACACCCTTTTACACCCCAGCTTTTTCTGAGATCTCCAGACTCAAACCACTGTGCACTATGTGCAGCAGGCTCCCCACTTCAGCAAGTGAAGGGTGATGTGCTCCTCTGGCCACTACCACCAATGAAGAGATCTAGATCACTCTCTTAACACCCCCTCCAGCACTACCCCCACCCTAGCCCTACCCCCCATCTCCCATCTCCCACTACCACCCCCACCCCCACTATCTGTTGCTGATGTTGCGCTTCAGGTAATCTGAGTAGTGTGTTAGGAGGAATCTCTGGAAGGTGCTGCTATAGAAGACTCTGGAAGGGATCAGGTTCAGAAATATTGCCTGGAACAGAAAAATATGAGTGTCTAAGACAAGAGCAGAGCAAAGAAATTACAACTTAGACAGCCCAGAGTCAGTCATTTAAGGATTGCTTTTTCTGACTACTATGGTCAGGCCAAGTGGTTCTATGTTTAAGGTCTTGTGATACTTTGCAACAGTGAACTTTTTAGTCACCCAAGCTGTCCCTTTAAATGCCCTCTGACCATCCTGATAGGATCATTCTGAAGGACATGCTAAATCAAGAGAACTCACTCTGTGCTGACCACCCCACTATACCTCTTTTTTGCCCTATGACGCACTTGCTATTCCTTCCTGAAGCCCCATTTCCCAGGTGGCTTTGTACTCTTTCTACCATGCTTCCTTCCCCGTTTACTCACAGCTAAGGAAAAATGTTTCTTGAGAGGCCCAACTTTACTGAAACACATAGCCAAGGGAGGTGGGAGTCACTGCATGGGAGATCCAGGTGTTCCTGTTTTTCCTCCCCAAGAACTCCCAAGAGCCACTAAGTGGAACCATTCTAAGTGGAGCCTTAAGGTTATTTATAGGCTGAGCACACAGGCCTCAATTCTTAACTGCTTCCCCTGGCTGTACTGCAGCAAGCTGACCCTGTGAGCTTGCTGTGAGAGAAAATGGCTGACTGTCCCACTAGCAAGAAATAGCAAGCCCCACCATGCCCATGATTTTGGCACAGCCTTCCTCCCTTGCTTCAAAAGAAGTCATCAATTACCAAGATTTCATGAGCAAGACAGCCACAGGTTTCAGCTCCAATCGTGACATATCTCAAGGACTCTTTAACAAACTCATCGGCAGTCTTGGTCACCATGTTGGTATTTAGATACTTTGTCATTGGAGTTGAGACAGCATAAGGAGTCAGCACCTGCAGAGAAAAATAAAGAACATGACACAGAACTATATAGCCCAGCAGAGAATGAGGCACGAACACATGTCTCACCATCCATCCCCAGCTCCTATCTGCCTGTGAAATGTTCTAAGCTCCTTGATAAAAGACACAAAGCTGGCACAAAACTAGAGAGCAGGAGGTTTGATTGCTCAAGATGAGGCCTAAACTGCTCATCTCAAGGTGCTCAAATGCCCTTCAGAGCACACGGGGCAACTGGGAGACTCAGCAAATGAAAGTGCAGATAACAGGTAGAACTGAAGTTCAGGGAGGGCTGGGGACGAGCTCAGGAGGAGAGTCTCTGCACGAGGCCCAGAGTTCAATTCCAGCATGGTGTCACAAACAAAAGGAACTCACGACTCAAGTTCAGACAAGCATAAATCATTCAGCATAATTATGTCTCAAGTATCACACTGAATGGACTTACACTAGAAAGTCAATCAGCCAGGAGTGGTGGCACACACCTTTAGTCCTACGGCTGAGGCAGGGGAATTGAAAGGCCAAGGCCAACTGGGTTACTAGTAAAACTGTCTCAACAGACAAATTAATCCACATTCCTTTGAAGATCAAATTTAATTACACACCCTATATTAAGTCTGGCCACACTAAATGACTGAGGTTCTGTGTTGTTTTTGTTTGTTTGTTTGTTTTGTTTTTGTCTTTAGAGACAGGGTTTCTCTGTGTAGTTTTGGTGCCTGTCCTGGATCTCACTCTGTAGACCAGGCTGGCCTTGAACTCACAGAGATCCACCTGGTTCTGCCTCCCAGTGCTGGGATTAAAGGCGTGCGCCACCACTGCCTGGCCTCTGTGGTTAACTAGTGGCTGGCTCTGCCCTCTGATCTCCAAATAAGCTTTATTTGTCAGAACACAAACAAAATATCATACAACACTGAGGCTTAATTTAAACAAGTTACCCAGTATTGCTTGGGGAGCAAGAGACAACTGAGGATATGCTAATGTGAGACAACTAAGGTTGTCCTCAGAACCCCTACACACGTGCACACATACATACTCACTCACACACAACATGCACATACATACATACCCATTCACATACACACACGTATTCATAGTCATACCTGCTCATACATATAAATGCCCACTCACACATGAACATGCACACACATATATACTTGCTCACACATGAACATGTAACATATATCCACACATGCATATAACACATGTGTAAAAAAATTTTAAGTGTGCCTATTTAATCTCTAATAGTGTGTCCTAAAACTCCTTCCCAGACTGTACTACTAAACATGGCACATGAAAATCATTGATACCCCAGCTACCCTACTGTTCACCCCAGGGATGGCAATGACAACCTATTTTAGTTAAGTAGTCTCCACAATGGCTCTGTTCCTCCTCCCATTGCCCAAGGACCAAAGTGTTGGGTATCCATAACTCATCACAGGTAAACCCCACCCCAGGGAAGATCCTTCCTCCCTTAGTCCCAGCATGGGTCAAGTGCCCAGCTTCCTTTTGTTCCTTCTCCATATATCAAAGAGGAACCAATAGTCAGACCAGACCTCATTGTCTGCTCCAATACAGCACTTGCAGCAAAGGATCCACAGCATTTCTCCCCAGACATCTCATGTAGCTCAGGCTAACCTTAAACTTGCTGTGTAGTAAGGATCACCCTGCACTCCTGATCCTCCTGCCTCCACCCACTGAGGGCTGAGATTACAGGCATGCACCACCACATCCATTTTTATACAGTGCTGTAGATGAACCTCAGGGCTTTGTGTATGCTAGGCAAGCACTCTACCAATTGAGTCACATCCCCAGCCTTCTGCAGCATTTTTGAGCAACTGCATCCATACTCAATTCTCCTCTCCAACCAACACCCAGGATGAAGGGAGGCCCCAGAAATCTCAGCAGCAGGAGGGTTGTAGAGGAAGCAGTTGGCCTGGTCTTGGTCAGGGGAACTCAATAGCATCTCTAACCCATCTTTACATGAACAACCAGGGATGATAGACTACCAACCACCTAGGCAAGGTTCCCACTCGGGAAGGCCCAAAATTGTCCACTTCACCTGGATAATGATTCCTTTAGCTCTGTATTCCACATGCAAGGCCTTGGAAAACGTGCACACAAAAGCCTGCAGTGAGAGAGGAAACACCTCAGGTCCTGGAGTTTACTTCCTCCTGCCCTTGCAGACAGGCCCCTCAGGTTCCCAAGAGTACCACAGACTCTTCCTTTTCGGAGGAAGAAGGGAGAGACTTGGGTAACTTGTCACTCACCTTGGAAGCCGAGTACAGGGCATACAGAGGCCAGGGACAAAGGGCTATCCCAGAAGAAATGTTCAAGATGAGGCCTTTCCTCCTGAAAGGCAGAAGAACAAAGGCTGCATTGTTGGCTGCTCCATCACACTCCAATAAAGACACTTGAGGGCTGGGCTGTTGGAACCCAACCTCTAGGTTTCCACAGTTCATGAGAGGTGGTTTTACAAGAACTGTGAGGGAAGCACTTCCCAAGATCTCAAAGAGGACACTGTGTGGTGATGTCACTCTGCAGTCATGCTTGGTACTCCAAACAGGAGCTCTGCTAGGTCAGTCGGTTCCCTGCCAAGCTATGAAAAGCCAAATTGGCTCAGACAAGAGGAAAGGAGGGAGAGGCTGTCCAGTCTCAATGGGACCACATGCCCTGGGTCCCTTCGGTCACAGTAGGACATGTGCCATGTAGTGGAATCCATCTTAGATGGGATGCGCTTCACTCTGACATCCGTATGCTCTTCAGGGCTCTTACTTATATCTTTTGAAATTCAATGTTTTTTGTTTGTTTCATTTTTGAAAAATATTTATGTTGCTATATAGTCCAAGCTAGCCTCAATGTTACCATGGAACCTATATTAGTCTTGAAGTTGTGGTGATCCTCCTGTCTCAGCCCCCCCATTACTGGGAGATATTCAATTATCTTTAATATCCCTAGCTAGACGCCTGGAGTGGGGTGGCAAGAAACCAAAAATTAGAATACAAAGCCACCCCCTTTTTACGCTAGAAAAATTAAACTATCAACTATTTGCTCTTAATGATTAATAGGTGATGAAAACCAGCCCCTAACATGTGTTGTAATAGAGTGACCCAAATACAGATTATTAGAGAGACTGAGAAGGGGCAGTTTCCAGGGAAATGGAGTGCTCATTCTGACAGAAGATGGAATTCACAATAAAAAAGGACATAGTCTTGACCTGAGGCCAACTTGCTTCTTTTATGTTCAATATAAGTTAATTTTCTTTGAAAGCCAATGTATTTTGAAACAGCTGTTCTCAATCTCCCTCTAAGATATGTTACACTTGACCTTCACATATGCACATGTATGTGAAAAGCTGACCTGGCCTTCCCCCATAATCACTGTGTTCTGTCTTCATAGGTTTTAACCATCAACTGAAGCAGCAACTCAGCCCCCTCCACCACCACTAAGTCCCCAAGCAAGGTGGCTGCCAAGGCAGGAAGGCCACCTTGCTTCATGCTTCTTCTGTGAAAGGCCTTACCTTGATTCCATGTGTTTGAGAACAAGCTGTGTCATCTGTAAGAGAAGGCCAGGGTTAAGCCTTGAAAAAGCAACTAAGTAGCAATGAACAGGGTCCTTGGAGGATGTTAGGAAAGCTTAATCTTCCCAAAAGACCTTGAAAGTTGCTGGCAACTCTGGAGGCCATTCTGGCAACCTGAGACTCTGGCTAGAAGCCACAGCAAGCAACCTAGACAGATGGCAAACTAATCCAACAGCCTTTGGTTTCTTTCCCGTAAAGTCTCACTGGAACAATAGGGATTGGCTTCAGGTGGTAGGAGCGATATCTGAATTCTCAAGGTCGTCCCCATACCAGGGATAAAGGAAGAGTATGCCAGCCATCACACACCTCACCCATGAGTTGGAATTGGGAACTATCAGAACACTGAATGAGAATCTAGCATCTCCTAGACATCTCAATTGAGCCTACTCAGCACAGGTCTTCAGAAGTGGGCAAGAAAAAACAAGGAGACCAATGGCCACAGATGCAACGTGCCCATGTGCCCGCATTGCCCAGGGACACTGCAGCAGCTTCTAGAGAGACTCTCCTGTCACTGTACCCATCACATACACCAGGCCTCTGGGTCAGTCCCAGAGAGCCTCCACATGTTCCTCCTATGGGTGGGGCTATGACAAGGAAGACTCAGAACTCTGTAAAGTTCTGCCTCTGCTTCCGAGGGAAGTGAGAGAAGGATGAGAGACCAGACTGAGTCCACATTAAACTACATACACATAAACACACACACACACACACACACACACACACACACACACACACACACACACACTCCGGGGGCACCACTTGCATCTTTTCGGACACCCTTGAACATCCTCAGTGTCTCTCATGTGAGCTCACTAGTCTTGATGGGCGAATGATCTCAGTTACACAGACAGTACTGGACACCATCTGTTCCACCTCAAAGTTCCCATGTCTAGCCTCTGTGATGGTTCATCTTCATCATCAGTTTGATGTGAGCTGGAGTCACTTCTATGAGAGAGTTTCCAGAAATGTTTAAATGAGGAAGGCAGACCACCCTGAGTGTGGGTGGCACTATCCCTTGGGTTGATAAAAAGGAGAGAGGAAGCTAAGCACCAGCTCTCATCACTTTCTGCCCCTGACTTTGGACACAATGTGACCAGCCCCATGGCCCCCTCCATCGTGCTTTCCTGGGACTGATGCACTGTACCCTCTTTCCTCTCTCAAGATGCTTCTCTCTCTCTCTCTCTCTCTCTCTCTCTCTCTCTCTCTCTCTCTCTCTCTCTGTGTGTGTGTGTGTGTGTGTGTGTGTGTTGCATGTACCTATACTCACAGAGGCCAGAGGAGGACACTGGAAGTCTTCCTCTGTCCCTCTTCACCTTATTTCCTCAAGACCGGGCCTTTCACTGAACCTAGTGGCTGCTTGCTTACTAGGCCAGAAGCCAGCAGGCCCCAGCAATCCTGCCCCTGCTCCCCAGCACTAGGGTTACAGACATGTACAGCCACAATCAACCTTTTTATGTGGGTGCTAGGGATCCAAACACAGGTCTCCCCTGCTGAGCCACTTCCCCAGCCTCTTTTGCACAGTAACAAGAAAATTAACTATAAAGTCGACTCTCCCAACTTCAAAGCCCTTCTCCGCCCTTGACCAGCAAGAGTGTATACTTGCTTGTACACACTGCTCCTAGACAGCATCTTTGAAATACTTAAGAGATGCTGATCATGCTTCCAGCCAGCCAGGCTAAAGAGGGCATGGTATGTTTAGAAGCTGAGCTTTAATTTATTTTCTTTGTTGCTTAGGGAATTTAGTGTCCATGATATACAAAACTTTTTAAAAATACAAATCAAAGCATTTCTTCACTAAAGGATTCAGAAGGCTGTCAAATCCCTTTGGGGAAACCTAGATGATCAAACAGTCTAATAGTGGAAGATTAGTGTTTAAAATAATGTAAAAATACTTTAATGGTAAGTCTTCAACAACAGTTGAACACATAAACCTTAAAGCCACATCAGCTGGGAGCTTTAAAAAGTCACCGACTGCTCAGCACACGAAATCTGTGAGCACTCAATAATAACCAAGCAGGAAGCTGTAACATGCCAGTGTGCTAACAGAAAAACAACCAATGATGAAGTAACTACTGGCCGTTCAGCTTTTCCACCTGAAAATAACTGCCTGGAGAGAAAGGCACTGACCAGCTTCCCCTCCTGACATTAGAAAACCAGTGCTCCACAGACATTTCATGTTTCAGCCCCTGAAACTGAACTGCCCCACACACCCCAACAACCTGAAATCAGAATTCCTACCTCACACCTCCCCACACAGTACAATTGCCTGCCAAGAGAGATCAACAGGGCTACCATATACAGTTGTGAACTTCATGGATGAGCTAGATGCCCAGCTGCGGGGTGAGCATAGGCAGAAAGCTCAGAGCTCATTCACTAGCTGTGTAGTGTGGTAGAGGTAGAGGGCTCTATGTGCTCAGAAGAAACACTTTGTTCACTATGTCACATGGAGCCTGGCTGTGCCCATTCTTAAGTAGTACCTGTTTCTAAGAAGTCTTTCCGGAGGAGACAGACGCCCTTTTCTTCTTCACACGAAGGCATAAATGACTAGCTTTGAGGGAATCATGGCATAAATGACTCTGCACCTGAACCAAACCAAAGGACCTAAGAGCTCTACCTAAGACATTGCTTCGTCCAATACTGCTTGTGTGTCTCTGTGTGGTTGTGCATGGCATGCACGCGGAAGTCAGAAGAACTTCAGAGTCCTCAGGCACCTTCCATCTTTTGTTTGAGATAGGTTGAGAAGTTCTCATTGGCGGAGACCTCACCATGTGTGTCATGCTAGCTGACTCACAAGTTCCCAGGGATCTACCTGTCTCTGCCTCCTGTCTCACCATCACTGGGATTATAGGCACATAACATCATACCTGGGGTTTGAATTCAAGACCTCATGCCTGCAAGGTAACTAACAGAGCTATCTCCCCAGCTGCTCCATCTAACACTCTTGTAACAGGTGCAGAATTGGAAATTCAAGATGCTTGGAAAGCTTGTCCTGTGATGTTCAACTAATTAGCTGCTGAGCTGAGCTTAGAACACAGTACAACACACACACACACACACACACACACACACACACACACACACACACATCTGTGGAGGGTGCATTCTAAAATCTTGAGTAGATATGATGCCTGAAGCCAACATAGTCTATAAGTCTAACTCATAAATTAGACATAAGAGATTAATGACTAATAATAAAATATAACAATTATAATAGTACACCCTAGTAAGAGTTATGTGATTGTGGTCTCTAGTCTCTTTCTTAAAGTAGAGAATCTTCCTTTTAGCATTCTGGAACCATGGCTAACCACAAATAATTAAACCACAAATAACAAGAGATTAATGGGCTGGAGACCTGGCTCAGAGGTCAAGAGCAATCATTGCTCTTTCAGAACCCACGTCAGGCAGCTCACAACCACCTGTAACTCCAGCTCCAGCGGATCTGACACAGATGCCATTCAAGTGCACCTACCCACACGCAGGTGTACATGTGGGACTAGAAAACCTAGTCCACAGATGACTTTGAGCTCAATTCAACAAATACTGAACAAGAAACACCCAGAAAACCCAGGCCCTCTGTCATCTCTCCTAACATAGTGAATGTCCTTCTCTTAGAGACAACTAAATGTTTCTTAAAATATGAATTTTTAGGGAATTGCTTTGAAATCCTGAGGAAGTGTTGGCATCTTCAGGCCTGGTGCATTCTGAATGCAAAAACAGTGTTCAGATACTGGAGAGAATGAACCTCTCTCTCTCTCTCTCTGTTTTCCTGATGAGAACAGAATAAGACATCCTGTGGTTAAGAACAGTTTGATTTCAGTTCAAGGAATGCTTCAGCCTCTGTGTTTTAATGTGTTTAGCACACGAGTTCATCACATACCTTGACTACAGAGGTGATGTTGCAGTGGATGAGGCTCTGCAATAAATAATCAGACACAAGTCAGCCCAGTCCTCGGAGAACTGTCCTGGGAATAAGTTGGTGCTAATGAAGCATTGGATGGGCAAAAGCTGAGTCCCTCTAGCTCCATTACATGCTCAACCTGCATTCTGGCTCCTAGCTAAGGTTCAGTGACATCGTTCTGTGGTGCTACCCATATGTGAGCCTCGGCAGAAGGAGAGTTGCCTTGAAAATTTGGAACAGAATAGAATCATAGGTGTTAAAGGAAGTTACATATGGTCCCTGATCTCTAGTGGTTGAGCCAACTTCTGATTAAGCAAAAAGCAGTGTACATACAATAGAAATCACACTTAAAATTTTGAATGTATAGTTTCTCCAGGGTAGTGGCATGTGGTATGATATACTTCTGCCATGCTGGACCTTGACTGCATTGCAGTCAGCCTCTCTGCCCCGAGAAGCAACCCATCCTTCTACAGTATGCCATGTCTGGAGCTGGGTTGGCCAAGAGGTTAGATGTCTTGAGCCATTATTTTACTTATGATATTTTCAACTACAGATAGACTTATTGGGAGGAACCTCATCATCATGGAAGACAGTGTTGAATTTCCAGCTAGACAAAAAGGGTCAGCACAGTGGGTTTTAGAAGACAACAACATGGAAGATAAAAAAAGGAAACAGTCGGATAATACAAGATGGAGGTTCTGGACTAGAGAAGAGGAAAAGAAAATGGTAGTGAGGCAGGCCAGCATAGGGATGACTTAGCAACCTGGGACCACGGCTTGGGTTTTGTACACAACCCTTTCCTAGTAATGCACTTATTAGCCTGGGACTCCCACTTGAATGGGCTGCAAGCACACCTGCTCCACATAATGAAATATGTTACTCCTTAACAAGCCTTTGGTGACTTAGTTTCCACTCAGGTATGTTCCGAGATACATCTGGGATAGAGAAATTGGTTATGGATGCATGTACAGTAACTGAGTGAGTTTTTAGGGGAAAGCCACTATTGGCCATTTTATGTCTATGTATAATTCAACGTGCATATGATTAAAATCAGATGCAACATGGGAAAGTACATATAGTGTGGAAAGTTTTACATTATCCAAGCCTGTCAATCAAAACAGAGAACTTCTTGAATGATGCCCCTTAGGATCCACCTCCTCCTCTCCTTAACCCCATAAATGAAGCTCCAAACATGGCCAGTCTTGAGTACTCCAACTCAAGGTGCTGGCTGTACTCTTGCAGCATACTTGATCTGCACTATTGATTTCTTCTCATCTGTGTGCAGTTCCTCAATTGTTTTCTGTTTGTTTGTTTGAACAACAACCTGGAAACACCAGTAACTGTCCAGACAGTAATTCCCTCAGGAACGCTAGAATCATCTTACCCAAGGCAGAGAGAGGAAAAGAGGTAGGCGCAGACACCAGCACAAATGCAGACCTCAAGAGAAGCATGATAACAGGAGCTGCTGAAGAGAAAGACAGACTTGAAACGGAGTGTGAGACGGAGAGCACACTTGGAGAGGGTGTTGAAAGGCTAAGTAGCAATGTCCCAGTGACCTGGTGTCCTAGAGAGTCGCCTGAGAAAGAGTCTCAGCTGAGGATTGAACAGGTCGGATGGCCCTGTGGGCATGTCTGCAGGTATTGTCTTGAGTGATGACGATGGGAAAGGTCTCAGCACACTATGGGCAGAACTATCTTTAGGCAGGTAGTCCTGGCCTATATAGGAAAGCTAGCTAAGCAAGAGCCTGTGAGCGAGCCAGCCAGCAGGCAGCATTCTTCCAAGATCTCAAGTTCCTGCCCTGACTTCCCTTGATGATTGGACTGTGACCTGGAAGTATAAGCCAAACAAACCCTTCCCCCTGCACAGGTTGCTTTTGGTCAGAGTGTTTTACCACAGCAACAGAAAGGAAACCAGGATACTTGGCATTATAGGCCAAGCACCCGACACAGTACTTAAAAGGACCGCAGGGACACCTACAGAACTGAGGCGTGGAAGCGTAAAAGCCTACCCAGACACCACCTCAAAGGTCGGGGCTGTGGGGAGGGTCAGTAAACAAGTGCCTTTAAGGGCTATCAATACCTTTAAAAAATTCTTCTCCAGCCCTACAACGGCAACTGTGAGTCTGACCTCTCTGGAGTTCTAGTGCCTCCAGCTGCAGTCTGAGCCATGTGCGGTGAGCCCTCAACATTCACAGACTCCACATCCTTGGGTTCAACTAACTAAAGATCAAAACCCTTCAAAAGCACACCTTCCTGAGGTGTGATTGGCTGCTGGTGGGGTCGGGGTATCATTTCTTCTCAGTAGTATAGCCACTGATAAATTGTCCATGCCTCAGGAAATGGCGACCCACTCACGCTCACACAAGCAATCCTAATAAAACTCATTGGCTTGTTAAAGAAGAAGAAGATATGACAATGTCTTCTGTTTATAACATGGCCATCAGACTCCTGAACTCACAGAAGCTGTGGTTGCCTGCACATGATCAAGCCAGTCCACATTCCAGTGTGTAGTGCCGAGGGGCTAATGAGTCCCCAGCCCACGCTGAGGAGTTATTGACATGATGGCTTCTGGGAGAGGGAGAAGTGGTTTTCTTTAAGGGTGTAGCCCTGTTAGGTCAACCATGCTCCAATGGACGGTTCCACACCCTTGAGTACGTGGGCAGCACAAAAGGATTCTGTGTCATTTAAAGAAGATATAAAGTAGGAAGGGGTGGGAGGGTTGAGAAGAATCTGGGAGAAGTTAAGTAAGGAGTGGAGGGAGAACAGTTCCCAAGAATTAATAAAAATACTGCATTTAAATTTTTATTTATTATTTATTTATTTATTTATTGGTTTTTTGAGACAGGGTTTCTCTGTGTAGTTTTGCACCTTTCCTGGAACTCCCTCTGTAGTCCAGGCTGGCCTAGAACTCACAGAGATTCACCTGCCTCTGCCTCCCGAGTGCTGGGATTAAAGGCGTGCGCCACCACCGCCCGGCTGTATTTAAATTTTTTAATGAAAGTAGGAAGGGACTTACTGGGGAAGAAGGATTCCAGAAGTAAGAGAGAAACAGAAGGGAGCAGAGATACATCAATACATGTAAGAAATTGTCAAAGGGCAAACTTTAAAATTCAAATAAAATTTTAAATTGTCAAAGAAAAAAATTTTATAAAATAAATTTAATTAATTTAAATGATTTTAAAAAACAGTAACATCTGTACTGAACATGTAGAGACTTGAATGGCTTTGTTTTTATTCTGTAAACACTATGCCTAACTGTTCTCACACATTTACATCACATTAGAGATAAGTTACCCAGAGGAAGACGCATACAGCCAGGCAGTGAAGTATGATGCCATTTTATGAGGAACTTGAAGGCTCAGGGACTTTGGTATCTAAGGGAGACGACATGCTCAGATGCCGAGAGATGTCTAGACTTCCCTATCGCTGAAAGTTGGCTACATCTCATCACCTAGGAAGACAGAAACAGCCAAGAGCTGGCTGCTCCCATGACACTAGAGCTATGAATTTGTTGGGCAGAATTCCCCTTTCATGAAGCAGAGCACAGAGTCCCAGAAGCACGGGGTAGTGATCAGAAAGTTTTTTGATGGATAGAGATGAAAAGGCACACACTCTGCATTGAGTTCTAAGGTGAAAAGAAAAATATCAAGACAGTCACCATGCAGTCTGGCCTGACCTGGCTCCCATTTCTCTTCTATGAGTCCTGGTGATCAAGACAGGGGTCCATACCCTTCATGACAAGCAGACACAAAGGGAAGAAGCTCACCTGGATCTCCCCAGGAGTGTTCAGGAAATGGCTTGGGAGCAGGCTGGGGAGCATTCCAACATTGTTGACTGGCAGAAAGAGGCAAAGCAAAGGGTGTCAGAACAGGTGGGAAATCTTCCTACAGAAACATGTACAAAATGATTTCTGTATATGGGTGCTTATTGCAATATGATTTAATAACAAAAAGGGAGGTGGATGTAGGCTAGGGAGATGACTCATTAAATAAAGTGACCATTGCACGAACATGGGGACCTGAGTTTGATCCCCAGCACCTAAATTAAGATAGAAAAGAAAGAAGGGGGAGGGAGGGAGAGAAGGAGGGAGAGAGAGAGAGAGAGAGAGAGAGAGAGAGAGAGAGAGAGAGAGAGAGAGAGAGATGAAGAGTAATAGAAGAAGATGTTTGACATTGACCACTGGCCTCCATAAGTACAGGCACACACACACACACACACACACACACACACACACACACACACACACTATGGTTATCTAGAATTTAAACACATTAGGAAACAACACTTGTGATACAAGGTTTTTGGTTTTTAGCTATGCACCTGAGGATAAGAACTTTCGATCCTCTTCCTTCACTTCCTGCGTACTTGACTATTAGAGATGTGTACTGACATGCATAAGACATGTAAGGTGCTGGAGATGGAACAAGCCCTCACCAGCCAACCTGCACCTCCAGCTCTGTGTTTCTGGTTTAATGCTATAAAACAATAAGTAGGTGCAACCCCAGTTTTGAAAACCCCATTTGTACCTGGAAGGATATGATGCACCAAAACGCTGTTGCAAGTTTGGAGGGCTTTAAGAAATTTGTCCTTGTGTCTGTTCATCCTTTCCAATTTTTTTCTACAATGATGTATTTTTATTTGTGAAAATGTAATTATGGCTAAAATTTTAAGGGAACTTTAAAATGCAAGTCTTACTTTCTCCTCTGTAGTGCTGACAGTGCACCCTGTGTGTGATCGCAAGATGTCTATAAATACAGAAGAACATCTTGATTTCTGAGTAAAAAGTAAAATGTTCTGTATTTATATTTTTTTAGTCTGTATTTGTGTGCAAGTATGCATGCATACGTGTGTGTGTGTGTGTGTGTGTGTGTGTGTGTGTGTGTGTGTGTACATGTATGCCATGAAACGTGTGTGGCAGTCAGAGAACAACTTGAAGAGCTCAGTTCTTGCCTTCCACCACATGGATCCCTATGATTGAACTAAGTCGTCAGACTTGGTGGCAAGTGTCTGTGTGCATCAGGCCATCTCACCAGGCCCCTTCCAAAAGGGGCTTCCATGTTCAGTTTAATACTACAACATAGTTGTGGGTTTTGTCCAAGCTATCGTAAAATAAAGTGTCACTAAGGTGATTATCATACTTATATGTAATACCAAGATTTGCGTTTTTCAATTTACTTACCTAAAATTCCAATTTCTAATCCTTTAAGTTCTTCTTTAATATCATCATAGATGTCTTCTTTGGTAAAATCTGCTTGTATAATCTTCACACGGCTTCTAGTGGTCCATTCTGTATGGGATACCACAGGTATTTCTAGTAAGCATGAGTAAAATCATCCCTCTTGACCATGAAGTCCTCAGCATTAACATAGATTTTTGTGGGACTGAGGAGATGGTTTAACAGTTAAGAGTACTTTTTTTCTCTTACGGGAGACCCAAGGCTGGTTTCCAGCACCCACATTAAGTGGCTCACACCCCTGTAACTCTGGCACAAGCCACTAAGTGATTGACATAAACTCAAGTTTGGGCCCCTGGAGGAGGGCTGAAACACCATCTGATACTTTCACAGCTCAGCAGACTCAGGTCTCCTCAGCATAGATACAAGTATCCTTTGCATGTGTCCTGTGCTCCAGAATCTATGTACATGGTAGCTTGTTCCCCTACAACACTCTTCTTCCATTTTCCAGAGCAGCAAATTGAGGATAAGTGTAGCTGACTAACTTGTCCAAGGAACCTATTCTTCACTCCTTCCAAGTTTAGTGCCTTGTCAGCTGTTCTGTGCTGACTTACCCAGTGAAGGCATCTGCAGGCAGCAGTAATAGCTGCAGGTAGAGTGTCTCAGTCTCTCTCAGAAGTACCTTAGCTTTGTGTCTAGACACAGCTCATCTGGATCAAGCAATCATGAGACATAGTGTGAGAGTCAGGGATCCTTTACTGTAAAAGACATGACTTGCTTTCCAATAACATGACAAAAAGCACATTTTACACCATGAGGAAAATGCTCAAAATACCTTGGTGCTAATCAGAGTGACTCCTAATATCCAGGTGCAGAACAAAAGCCAAATTCATCAGTTCAAGGGCACTGAGCCTCCACAGTGAGAATGCAGAGCCCCCACCCCCACAACTTTCTTCTATTCCGAACCTCCCCCAAAGGAACAAGGCTGGCCCAGAACAGCCTGCTGTGGTTTAAAAAGTCTTCATAACTAAAGACTCACACCTTTGCCTTGATACTTCAGATAATTACTAACTTAATAATTATTAAAATTGAATACCTAAAAAAAGCATTATGGTCATTTTCACTAAAAATAATCTAAACAATTCAAAACAATAAAATATCTGTAAAAGATGTCTTTTAGGGTTGTTATGTATAACATAACATGGCATGGCAGCCCTGAGTCGTATCTTTTTTCCTTTTCTTAACCTGATGACCATCAGTTAGCATTTTCTCACCCTCACCATTTCTGGCTTTGAAGGGAGGGACAGAAGCTAAGAGGCAGCTGGGGCTCTGGCTGAGCAGGCCTGATTCTGAGGGTGAAGGCCCAGAGAGAACTCCTCCTCCACCAGGCCACAGAATTCAGGTTGGCAGCCTATGCCTTGTACCTCGTCCTTCCCTTGGTATCCGGGGCCCTTCTGTGTACAGCAGATGTGGCGTGAACAGGCAGGACAGTGCCATGCTTGACCAGTTCCATACACACACCTCCCTTGCTGTGTGGGGTCACTCACCAATCTCTTCTGCAATGGCCTGTAGCTTTTCCAGTGTCCGGCTGATAAGTACAACGTTGAGTCCATGTTTGGCCAGCTGCGGGCAGGAATAGAAAGACCAGAAAGAGGCTAAGCGGATGGGAGGCCTTAGAGTGACATACCTAGTTACAGCATGAGTCGCCTGCTTCCTCTGGACTTCTATGTGATGGAGGTTCCTGAGCTATGAGTGAAACGGCCATCATGGATAAGGCTGAAGCCAACACTGTAGCTGTCATAAGTGTTGCTGTGTGCTCATTATATGGCAAGAGCCACTGTGGAGAGTCTTCTTGCACAAGCCTGTCATCTGAGAGCCCCTATCTGAGAATGGTGAGGCTCACTGTAGCCAACTACAAAGTGTGAGGGCTGTAAACCTTACTTTTTGATAAAGACTCTAACTGGACTGGGACTCATCAACTAGGCTTAACTTGCTGGCCAGAAAGCCCTGAGGGTCTACCTGCCCCTGCCTCTCTAGTGCTGGAATCACAAGCATGCATCACATCACCCAGCATTTTCATGTGTGTTCTGGGAATCAAACTCAGGTCCTTGTGCTTTCATGGCAAGCACTTTTATGACTGAGCTATCCCTCCACCACTTTTTAAGTGTTACTAGGAGACCATCAGGGTAGAAGGACTTACATGTGATGCCAGGCTGCCTGGTGCTGTGAGCTCTGGTTCCCTTCTGACAAAGCATCTCAAAGAGCTACAAGGCACCCAGAGACTCAAGATGCATTTCAGAGACTAACAGGACTCCTCTTTCTGGATAGAAAATAATATATGCACTCATTTCTTTATCTTCCTTGGGCTCCATGGAAGCAATTCCACAGGATTGAATTTTACTCTCTGGCAATAAAACAATTCCTTAGTCTCTCAACATGCATTCCCATCCTCCTTCCTTCTTTGGAACACTGATGTGAAACTGTCCAAATCCATCTTCACAAATTGCAATTCATAAGACGCTGATAAAGTCCTTTCACTTTTACAGTTTTTCATCCATTCTTGTCTCAAGACCTGGTACTAGTAAAACACATGTGAGATAGTTTTCAAAAACCTTTTAGTCTTGATCATGTCTTTCTCATGTAGTTGTGAGGGTGGACATTTCAAGAGAGGCGCTAAGGTAGACTAGATCTCATGGGGGCTAGCAGGATGCTCTGTCAGTAAGGTGTTTGCCACACAAGCATGAGGCCCTGAGTGCAAGCCACAGTGCCCATGTGAAAAACCAGTCACAGCACTACCAACAATCTCAGCGCAGGAGAGATGGAAACAGAATTATTCCAGGAGATAACATGTCTAGTCAGTTAGTGAACTTCAAATTCAGTGAAAGACTCTGTCTCAAAAAGGGGGTGGAGGGGCATAGAAAGAGAACAAAGGATATACTCAACATAAATCTCTGGCTTCCACACACACATGCACACACATGAGTATGCACATGAACATTGATTTGCACATACACAAAAATATAATAGATAGCAGATCATAACATGATTTCAGAGACAGAACAAAAAGGCCAATATTTGTGATATGATAAGAATCATACATTCACTTCTTGCATCTAGCTGGTACAGAGCTTCTAGGCTCTTCTCACTTTCTGCATGTTGGAAATGATAAGCGTGTCTTTCCTGTACATGAGAGGATAGGAGCATCATTTCACATGAGACAGAAATTGCAGGAACATCTCCTGCTCATTCTTTGATCTTGGTCCCTCATTCCTGACTCCCTGAGATCCTTGGGATATTCTAAGTACTAGGTGTCTCTCAGCACACCAATGAGTCAGCTGCTGTCTGAAGACCCTAGATAGCTCAGGATCCAGGATAGAAAATTGTGTAACTTTGGAGTGTTTGTGTTATGGCAACAAGAGCAAATGAAAGCAATAAAGACCAACCAAAAGAAAAAGACAGATCTATTAAGTCAATCAAAACCAACATTAAAGCAAGTAAGTATTGTTGGAAATAGACATCATAAAAAGCTAACTCCTGGAGACATACCAGTTCTACTCCTGATTACCTAGATGAAAAGCTTTCCATGGAAGAGTTAGCAGAACAGGAGGTAAAAATGCATGGGCTCAGCTGGAGATTTTAATTGCTGGGTGAAGCAAGTAGACATTTGGTAAGGAAACAGACTATAGAAACCACACAAATAATAAGCTGGCTCCAACGAACCCATACAAACATGAAGCAAGAGTTCATCTTCTGAAAGTTGTCTATGTGAAAAGCCTGAGAAGGGCTGGAGAAAAGGCTCAAATGTTAGAAGCACTTGCTGATCTTCGAAAGGACCTGAATTTGGTCTCCAGCTCTAGGGGATCATTCGGCATCTAAAGGCACCTACACTCAATGGGCACGTATCCCTTCCCCAATGCATAGACATAATTTAAGACTTTAACTTGGGTTGGGGATTTAGCTCAGTGGTAGAGCGCTTGCCTAGCAAGCGTAAGGCCCTGGGGTCAATCCTCAGCTCCAAAAAAAAAAAAAAAACAAAAAAAAAAACAAAAAACAAACAAAAAAAAACCTTTAACTTAAAAAATGTATATACATACATATTTTTATATACATAGACGTATATGTAGATAACAGATGCTCTTCTTAATTGACACATCGTGATTTTAATGTGACATTTCAGTGTGTGTGCACAGAACGCAATGACCACTTTGTGGACTGGCATATCTGACATCTCAGATATAGATCATTTATTTGTGTTTGGATATTCAAAATCCTCTCTCCTATTTTGAAATAATCAATGAAATTTTTATCAAAATTCCTGAACATTGGAAACTCTCAGGCCACACCAGCACCACAGCTGGGGCAAAGAAGCCAGATAAGGAGTGCTGGGTCCCAGCTCTTTCTAAAGCCATTAGCCCAGGTGCCCTTCTCTGCCCCAGAACTGAGGGCAGGAGGGGTGTTGGTACAAAGAGGAAATGAGCCTTAACAGCCACCAACCAGGCAGGAAGTGAGAAAAGACTCCAAAACACCTCTCCTACAGGCAGCCCAAGGGCCTACACAACAGTCCAGGATGTCGGGCTCTTCATCCCTGAACAGCTGGCCCAGGCACATCTGTGGGAGGCAGCAAACACGCCAGGCGGGGAGAAGCCATCAGGGAAAAGCCTCCAGAGACCACATTTAAAAGAAGAGAGGCTGAGAGAAAACCAAAATGGCTGTTTCTCAAAGCTGTGTTGAGTGAACACAAAAGAATTCTCAGAAATGCAAGACACTTTATTTCCTTGGAAAGGGGCAGGCAGCTAGACAATTCTAGCCAGGTGTAGTGCATACGCCTGTAAATCCCAGTACATGGGAGGCAGAGGCAGCAAGGTTGCTACAAGTTTGAGGCTAACCTGAGCTGTGTAGCAAAATTCTGCCTCAAAAACAAACACAATTTCAATTAAAGTATACCCTGGGCTACACAATAAGAACCTGTCTTTAAAAAAAAAGTTATTTTTAATTTTTACATCAAAAAAGAACATAGTAAAATAAAAAGGCTGAAAAGAAGGTGGTGTGGGTAAAGCCGTTGCTCTGAAAGCATGAGAACCTGAGTTTGGATCAGCAAAAACATGCAAAGCCAGACCAGGTAGCACACATCTATAATATTGCTCCTACAGCAGAGTTGAGATGGGAGGTGGAGAAAGGCAAATTCCCAGAAGCTCACAGGCCAACTAGCCTGGCATAATAACAAGAGACCCTGTCTCAAACAAGGTAGAAAGTGGAGGCCAACTCTCAAAGTTGTCCTCTGACCTTTCACTATGACAGACATTTACCTGCACTCATACATACATACATGCACACACACGTACACAAGCATGTACACACGCATGTACACACACGTACATGCATGCACACACAGAGATGCACACACATAGACAAGCATGTGTACACACACGTACACACATGCACACACATGCACACTGTGGCAAACATTTACCTACACACACACACACACACACGAAGACATTAAATTTTAATTAAGGAAACGAAACAACTCAGTTTAAAGGTTGGCAAGTAGTTGCAGCACTGCTTTGGTAGAAACAGAAAAAAAGGAAAGAGAAATGGAGGCTTCAGAACTGAATAACAGCTCCGGAGACAACATCAAACATCTTCACCAGCAGTCCCCGGAAGAAGCAAGCGTACCTGTGCTGCCGGGGGGCCCAGCTGGGCCCAGCTGTCTTGTCTCTCCTGGTTTCTTCTCACTTTCTGAAATGGGGATAGAGCCTTCCTAGGGAGTCCTAGGAACTAGATGACACAATTTCTGCTAAAGTTCTTTAAAACTGATGAAGAGCTATTACAGGGTCTGGGGAGATGGCTCAGCAGTTAAGAGCACTTGCTGCTCTTACAAAGGACCCAGGTCCAGTTCCCAGAACCCATATTAGGTGACTCACAACCACTTTGGTTTCCAGGGATCTGGCACCCTCTTCTAACCCCTGCCAGTACCAGGTATGCATGCAATGCCCTTAAATACATGCAGGCAAAGCACTCACACTCAGAAAATAAATGAGAAGGAAAGAAAAATATAAATTTCTAAAACCAATCCAAGAGAAATAACTTGAAGAATTCTATAATCACTTCAAAACATAACAAATGTTTCCCCACATGGTGGCATACATCTTTAGTCCCAGCACTTGGGAAACAAATGGATCTCTGTAAGTTTGAGGCCAGCCTTGTCTACATAGTGCCAGAATTATGTAAAGAGACCCAGTCTCAAAAAACCAAAACCCAAACAAAACAAAAACCCGTGTTAATAATAAGGCAATAAGGACACAAACGAGCATTTTAAGTTGTCCCACAAAGAGAATTCCAGGCACATATTATCCTCTGGGTAAATTCTACCAAACATTCCAAAAAAAACAATCATTCCAAAATTGTGTAATCCTCTAAAAGAATAAAAGGAGGTCAAGTTCTCTCTTTTTATGGAGTGCCTATAACCTTGACACCTCAGATTCTCTAGAGAACAAATACTGTCATCTAGTCATGCTGACCATTGGGAAACATAGCCCATGACTTGGCAGTTCTGTACTTACGGATGCTGTTAACTTATATACCTGTCCTCTAAGAGACAGGGACTGACATAAAACATGGGT